CAGCGGGCTCGCCCAATCCTTCCGCAGCCACCCACCGTCGAAGAACAAAGGCGCCCCGTTACTTCGGGCTTCTTACTTTTACACCCTCTCAGCATCGCTCGCCGCGTGACACTTTAATTATGTCGAGGCGAAAATCGGACGGAAGACATAAGAGGATGCGCGCGCCTCTGAGGCCAGCCTTTTTCGCTCCGCGGTGATTTTAATTAACCGAATCGCACCGAGCCATCACACACCGGGATCGCAGCGTGCGACGGCCGACGTCGGATCGGGAAGAAGTCCCCTCGGGAAGCCCGACGGGATCGCCAGCCGCGTGACACCGTGATAAAAACGCAACGGTCTCCGCGCGGCGGGGGGTCGTCGGTAAAGTATTTCACGGGCGAAGAAGAAAATGTCGTCGCCGCTGAATTAGCCAACGGCTCGCGTGTATCGGAAGCAATCGGGAATCGCATTCCGCACGCACCGTGCGGCCTAAAACTACACACACACAGTCGGGACACGTCGGTGCCGCGTCGACGCTGTTCCGCCTCGGCACGCGACGATAAAATCCTCGTAAAATTTTCACGATAAAGCCATTCCCTCGCGAGGATCGCGCTCGTCCCGATACGAATTTACGCGATGGATCTGCTCTTCGAATCTCCCGTATCTCACGAGAGCTCAACGGAGAACACGTTGAAATGAGAGGTAAAGGAATACCGGGGGGTACTTTTGGCATTGGTTTCCGCACGCGAAACCTGTGCGTCGCGATCTCACGGTCGGGAGTTCGCGAGACTACCTGTCCCCCTCCCCCCACCCCACCCCATCGAGTAAACTGAGCGCTCGCGTGTTCTTTCGTCGATTAAGGTACACATAGTTAGCGACGCCGACAGTGATCGCTGTACCGAATCGGATTATGAAAATGTCCTGTCCGGGATCCCGACGTCGAACATAATGGAAATGTGAGATTGGCCGGAGTATCCGCGCAACAGATCCGTGTAAGATAACGGTAATCAGATTAACATCTTCCTTATTCGGCCGTCGACGGGCGGTCGCGACGATATTTACATAACGGCTGGTATATTCCTCGTTCGAACGTTCGCGCTGTTAATTTCTCCGTCTCTTTCTCCAGAAGCGATATTCGCTATTGACGGTTTGCACTTCGGAATCAATACCGGCTTCTTTTCACGGATCCGTGCGAAGAGAGAGGGGGGGAGAGAGAGATAAAGAGAGAGAGAGAGAGAGAGAGAGAGAGTGAATTTTCCAGCGCGTTTTCCGCGGCAAATGGTGCGGATGTGAATAAACGGCTCGTTAATAATTTAAATCAAGTAGCGCACTCGCGCGCTCGCGTGGTCCTCCACTCGTTAATCTTTCTCGAACCGCCGGCCGAAAGAATTCACCTCCGGCAAACAAGTTTTCTCATATTCTCACGGCTCGGCGGGGAGCCGTTCTTCTCACGTGATTTCTCGCGATTCGCATAAAGCTACACCGGCGCCCCGGCGAATAAATTAAAGGCCGGCGATTCCGTATTACGCGGACATAACTCGCGCGAGTCCGCAAAGATCGCAAGAAGAAGTCAAGTGAGTTCGCGGCGGAATCGTTTCTTCCGCGTGGCTTCATAGTGCCCGACGACTGTCGCACTTCAGCGAGAACGGCTGCGACGCCTGCCTTTAGTAGTTTGACTAACGTTCACTGCGTTGCGCAGCCGACGGCGGGAGTGAGTTTTACGTGTTTCCTCTCGACGGTGCGATTTAAATTCGCAGCGTCGCCCACGATCGCTCTTCCGTTTCCCCGACTCGTCTCCTTCCTCCCCCCCCCCCTCACTCCTCTCTTCGCCTTCGATTCAACTCGATCGATTTTTCAATTTCGATAAAGGCTAAACTATCGCGGTCACTCGTCAATTGTGAGCGCCGAGCGATGGTGTTATTAAACGATAGCGAGATAGGCAGGCAAGTTTCGAGCGGGCCATTAAAATTTGAAAGAGCGGGGGGGGGGGG